TGGGTGGGTTGTTTAAATGATTACGACAAAGCGTGCAAGGACTGTGTACTTTACAAAAATTGTTTTGATGGACGATTTTCTGCAAGAAATTGGTTCATATTCATATTATACATGAAGAAAAATGCAGCCACCCGTTCAGCAGAAACTGAACAATTATCAGTGTTCAGCGCCCGTATTCCCGATTGCTAATGGATGTGTTTCAGTTAACTATTTTTAAGCATTTTTAAGTAGTACGGATCTGTCTTATTAATGCTTTAAAAAGCACCTTAAGGTATAATTAACAAGCTAGTTAAAAAGCGAACTCATTGTTAAATGGTGCCAAACAATTATTCTGTGGGTTAGGTACGCAAGTTACGGCGTTAGGCATTTTATTAGTCTTGAAACAGCATTTTGCGTCGGTTTACTACAGACGGCGTATCACTTTTTAAATTGTTGCAACCAAATATTATTGTCCTGTATTATATTTAAAGAAATTAAATTATGAAGAATCTGCGTCAATGTATGTATGTTTCTAGGATTATAAAAAAAGACGATGCTACCTAGAGCCACCAAATTTTGAATAACGTGATCTTCCATCCGAACATGGACACCTGGAAGGCCGAATTTTTAATTTCGAATTTGTTTTATTATCTGTTCCATATTTTGTAAAACCTGAACGAATTTTTGATTAACTCAGCGATTTCAAAACGAGCAATGGCAACACGCCCCCCCCCGAAAAAAAAAATTGCTCTATCGCGCGAGACTGCCTATAAGTTGTTTTTAAATATTATAAATCCCTCTCTATATATATTCAGTAGGTTCTTTAATGTACCGATTTCGATTTTGTTGTATAAATTTTATAAAATTTTGTAGTATTTTCAGTAGGTTTTTTCGCTAAAATTTAACTGCTTTCGTTTAATGTAATTGCTATAACTTGGTGTTACATGTCAACTTAGGAATTAGCTACAAATGTACTTTAAGGCTTTTGCTAATTTTTTATTTTCTTTTCAATCTAAATATATATATATAACTTTAATTTGCGTTTTACGAATACAGAATATTTGTTAAATTCAAATATTTATATAAGGCTGTTTCATATTATGTAAAACTTTAACGAATTTTTGATTAACAAATTGTACAATTTCAAAGGGAGCAATGGCAACACTGTACAGAAAAATAAAAATATCTCCAGCGTGCGAGACTGTTTATCGGAAATTCTAAAGATATGCTCTTTTTTAATTATTTTGTGATATTGCTGTTGAACTGAATTTTGTGGTTTAAGTGCGAAGAACACGATATTGAATAAATAAAAGTAATACACACACACACACAAAAAAAAAAAAAAAAAAAAAATCCTTTGGCCGTTATATAAAATTTGAAAGCTTCCAGATTTTTTTTTTAAGATAAAAGGATGAAAAAATAAGAAACTTTTAGTCTTTTTCGTTTCTATTTCGTGTCATATGATGTTACCCTGCCATAATATTAATCCACAATGCGGACCGGTAAATTCCTCTATCTCTTTTACTGAATAATGAAGAAATCTATATGCAGGTATGTGCCTTGCACTCTGGAATGACGGAGGTACCTGGAGTCACCAGATCTTAAACATACATAGTCCTCCATTCGAAAATGTGCATCTATAGGCCAGGATTTTGAATTTCGAATTTGATTTTTATTTTTTCACTAGCAGCTTCGCTGCCAGCCTTCGTCTGGCTTTTAAATGTACCTGAAAAATGGCTGAAGGGAACACCAAACGTTAAATTTACAAACTGCGTAGAATTTTACTCTGCAGAACAACTTCATAAAAAAAATTATTACGTATAAAAATTACTATGAAATAAGCAATATCCTTTAATACAAATATTAATTATCCTAATAAATAAATTAAACCAACTTCCTTTTTGCAAAATCGTAAGACTCAAATGGTATAAAGGAAGTTAAGAACTTTGTTTCCTGAAAAAAATCACTCAAAACTTTTCAATATCTTAAAAACAGTGAATAAGCAATAAATACATAAAAGAATGCAAAAAAACAAAAAATTCTGAAAAGAAAAGTATAATTAATGATAGTTATCTTATATTTTCAAGAGAAAAAAATTACAATGAAATAAGCTATATCCCTTAATACAAATATTAATTATCCTAATAAAAAAATTAACCAACTTTCCGTTAAAGAAAAAAAATTCATGCAAAACTTTTCAATATCTTACAAACAAAAAATTACATGAAAGCAACTCAAAAAACACAAAATTCCGCGCAGAATTTTACTCTGCAGAACAACTTGAAATATGCCAATCTCTTAAAAACAGTGACATAAGAAATACGATGAAAAATTGTTGCCAAACCCATGGTTCTAAAAGAATGAAACTATTGAAAATGATGCGATTTTCATCACAAATCTATCAACAACAATAAAACAGGAAAATTGTTGTCAAAATCCCATTTTTAAAGATGTGAGAAGTGTACTCTGAAGCTTCATTTAAAAAATGTTTTCAAAATACAAAATATCATCATTTTTCCAAAATTATTTTTGTAAAAGCAGTCGTAAGGATGAAAGTTTAACGTGTACAAAAGTCAAAGAAAAATAAACTGCACATTTTTAAAAATAAACTTTTTTTAGAAAAAAATCCCGTTAAAAAAGTGTTAAGCTACCTTTGTTAAATAAATTCGTATTGAATCGATTTATTGAAACACGAAATTTATTTTAAGTTCGTAAAATAGCTAAGTGCCTACGTTTCATGACGATGTGAACATGGAGTGTGTAGAGTAAAATCTCGCTTTCCTTTAGCCCATTATGTCTCAAAATTACGCGATTTCGTCACAAAACATAAAATTAAAAAAAAAAAAAAAAAAAAAAAAATCGAATTCGAATTTCGAAAAAATCGCTTCGAGGTGCACTGGCTCTTGTCTAGATGCACCTATGTACCAAGTTTCGTAGCCGTGGTTCTATTAGCTTACGCGCAACGCGAACGAAAGACACACACACACACACAGACAGATATTAATATGTAGTTTTATTAATATGTAGAGATATTATATGCGAATTTAAGGAACTTTTAGTTAAGATCTCAGCGATATAAAAGCTTTTGTTACTACTCAGCAAAGTATAATATATTTATGTTTCAAATTTAATTAGAAAGTTCAGGGGTCACTGAGTAAAGCGCAATATATAAGTAAGCTCCAGATTCTCTAACGAATAGAACGCTTGAAATTCGCTACGGTATGAATTTCATGGGAATGAGAATGGGAGAATTAAAAAGTAGAGAATAAATCCAACTTTAAAGTTTTATATATGTTTTGAGACTCGACATTAAGAATAAATGTTTGGTTTGGTTTATTTAATAATGGCAAAGCACACTACGGCTATCTGCCTGAGGGGAGGGATGCCTTCGTGGAGGACTTTCTAAGGGAAATTGACTCGTATACACGTTCACATGGGGAAACCACGAAACGCTATGCAGCCAGCCCGTTCCCGGGATTCGAATATCGGACCGAAATACCAGTGTTCAGCGACTTTACCGCTGGGCCGTGGAGAAAATACTGCACATCAAATAGAGAAATATTTGGCTTACCCTATAAAATCGCTCGAGATAAGCTTTTCCAGCCTGCATCAACGTATCTTTCAGAATCATCACTTGCTGGGTCTAGCCCAATAGAAAATACTATTAATGATATTCTAGCATCAGTTCTTCCTCAGGATGATATTACAGATGACTCCCCAGAGCACTTGTCAATTAGGCAGCAAACTTCTATTCCTAACACAGAGGATGATCCACAGATTACAATTACAGAAATTAAAACCACTCTTCGAAGTATTCCAAAAAAACGGGCCCCAGGCCCCGACGGGATTGACTATTCTATAATTCGTGTAATCATTAATTCCCACATCTTCTTTTTCTGTGATTATTTTAATAAGTTATTTCTTAATGGTGTATTTCCTCGTATCTTCAAAGCTGGAAGAGTGGTTCTTTTTCTCAAAAAAGGCAAAGATCCGCAATTATCCACATCTTATCGACCTATATGTCTATTATCTGCTCTGGGGAAAGTTTATGAAAGAATTATTGTCTACCGTTTAAAACATTATCTTCACAAAATTCACTTTTTAAGTGATCACCAATATGGCTTTAGACCAGGTAGGTCTACCCTACAAGTATTATCAAAAATTACAGAAGATATACATCGTAATCGCAACAATGGTCACCACAGTGCTTTCATCAGTATAGATCTTAAGAATGCTTTTGACTCACTGTGGTGGCCTGCAATACTGGAGGCACTTCGACAAGCTGATTGTCCTCAGAATTTATTTCTTGCATTTCAAAGTTACTTGTCGGAAAGAAAAATTATCTACTCCACTAATCATGGCATTATTACAAGACAACAAAACAGAGGCTGTCCGCAGGGTTCTTGTGCTGGCCCTGATTTATGGAATATAACATTTAATTCTGTTATTGCCGCAAACTGGCCAGCACATACCCGGGCATATGCGTATGCAGATGATACAGTTTTTATCATTCAAGGACGAACTCGAGAAGAGTTGCAAAGAAATGCTATTGAAACCTGTGATCTCTTTTATAACTTATGTTCTAGAATTAAATTAACAATTTCCGAACCAAAATCGCAAATTTTATTAATCCCTAAAAAAGGAGGATCTTTGGTTCGACGGCCTCGAATCACCATTCATGGTACACGTATACCTATCAAACCGCAGCTCAAATTTCTCGGCGTTATCTTTGACGAGAAACTGAACTGGATGCCGCATGTTTTGGAACTAAAGAGACGAACTGTTATAATTGCATGTAAATTGCGTCAAATGCAGGGTCGTGGATGGGGAATTAGTCCCTATATACAAAAGGTTCTTTATCTCACCGTTATCGAGAGAATGGTCACCTATGCGGCTGCTATATGGGCTGAACCCATGCAGGGTCGCAAAGTGCGCCACTTGCAAAGTCTCCAGCGTCAATTTGCCTTACAGATAACTAGGGCGTTTTTCGTACTACCACCTCATCCAGTGCATTAAATGTCATGGCGGGACTGATCCCTCTTCATCTACGTATTCTGCAGGAAGCAGCAATACAATCCGTCAAGGTTTTGAAAAAACCTTTCATCCTATTTGATGAACTTTTCACACCATTGCACTATGAACAACCCTCACAACATTTGGATGTGCATCCAGTCCTTCAAGGAACAGGACTTCGGATTTTCCTTAAGGACGTAACACTGCCACCTATCCCAAGCATTCAATATTACACTGATGGATCTAAAATAGATCAACAGACAGGCTGTGCCCTTGTAGCCTTTCATAATGGTCAGTCAATTTATCAGTGGCTGGGTCATCTCCATGGAAATAATAGTGTATTTCAAGCGGAGGCCCTAGCCATCCTCAAAGCAGTTCAACACTGTAAAACAAGTGGTGCTATGGAGGCAATAATTATCACTGATAGTCTTTCGTCGCTTCAAGCGATTCAAAACCCCAGACATTCTTCTTCGCTTATCTCGGACATCCAATGTGAACTTCGTAATCAAGTGGGAAATAACATCACGCTAGCTTGGACTAAGGGCCATGCTGGGGATCACGGTAATACTTTGGCAGATAAGTTAGCCAAATCAGCTGCCGAAAATACCGATGCCGAGGCTGAAGAAGTGATTCTTAAGTGGCCAACATCTCACTTAAAACGAGCTCTTCTTTTAAAAGTTATATCCCAATGGCAACTAGAATGGGATACTGATGAAACCGGTCGACGAACGTACAATCATATTACGTATGTGGATCAATGTCGTCAGATAACAAATCATCAACTAGTAAGATATATCTCGGGGCATGGTCCATTTCCAAGCTACTTTTACAAGCATGGAATTGCAAATAGTGAATATTGTGTCTGCGGAACTCTAGGCATACCTGAACATTATATTACTACATGCCCGTTAACGGAGGAATTTCACATTCCTTTCCCTGTGGATAATCAACTAGCATTTAGTAAATTTTTAATTAAGCAGAAGTACCTTATCAGAAAACTCTAAAAAATTATGGACATTCTCCACAGTTATGGATCTGATCTATGTCAGGTTGTCTAATGTTAATGGTTTTTTTCCTGTTTTCATAATACAACTGTATTCTTGTACACTCCAGTTGCATTCTTGTCTGTTTACATAGTGTTTTCATAATACAATTGTATTTTTGTACACTCCAGTTGCATTCTTGTCTATTTACATATTATAACTATATTCTTTCTTTTTAATAGTCCCAGTATTGTTACAAATATTATTAAAAATTGTATTGTATTTTAAATGCACTATAAGATATTGCACAATAAGTATTATACTCGCAACCTCAAACTATAGATATGGTATTACTATCTTACTGAATTACAAGCTACATATTAAGTATTCTAATCTGGTTATATATCAAAAATATTGTATCGAGCATTGTAATAACTATTGTATCAAACTATTAGCATTGTATCATATTTCATTATAATTACAATATACAATATTTGCACTCTAAGTACTGCATTATATTCTAACTAGTCTATTAACTTAATTTACTTATTATTTTAATTCTTGCATTAATTATTGTATTAAGTTGGTAGTTATGTAATATTATGTTGAGTTATAAGCTCTACCCTAAGAATATGTGATGCAACATATTGAAATTATGAACATCGTATCGCTATGTATGCTTTAGTATGGAACTGTAAATTAAATTCTTTGCAATACAGAAACTGGATTATTAGCATAACGTTATAAGTAGTCTTGATTCAACTTGGCATTAACTATTTTATTGAATTACATGCAGAATTTTAGACTTTAGATTTTAGATTTAGTTTATTGATTATATTGAATTATATGTCGTGTATTGCATATTGCACAGAATTATT